CTGCCGGGAGGAGGACAGCGGAGCTCAGGCCTGGGTGTCCAGCCCCGCTCCATGGTGAGTGTAAGCGGCTGCTCCCCGCCACTGTGGCAGGTCCTGCAGCTGCCCGGCCAGCAGACCAGACTCTGGGAGGAGGAAGAGGTGGGGAGGAGAGCAGGGCGGCACTTTCTCTGACCCCTGGAGCTGTCTGGGCCGGAGAAGGAATGCTCCTCTGGGCAGAGTCTTGCTGTGTGGCTTTGGGCAAGTTCTTTTTTTTCCCTCTCTGGGCCTCCCCTGGGCAAATGGAGGGGTTGAACGAGGTGCCCTTTAAAAGACGCTTACTGTGATGCTATTTCTTGTGCATCTGCTGTGTGCTGGGCACCAGGCTGGGCACTTTGGGAACTTCAGCTCAGGAGTCCCCAGGATTCTCCCTGTGGGCTTATGATCCTCCTCACTGTATGCGGAGGACACAGAGGCGCAGACAGGGAAGTATCTTGCTCAAGGTCACACAGCCCATCTGTGGCAGAGATGAGGAGTGGATCCAGGTCTCTCTGACTGGGCTTTGGCTGCATTTTGCCGTCCACCTCCAGTGGTCTGCATTCCTTGTTCTGTGGCTGCGACTGTCCCAGGACGCAGGGGAGAAGAGGAAATTCGGATGGTACACGCATTTGTTACCTGCAGGAGGGGACAGGGCAGGCCGAGGAAGCAACAGGCTGAAAACAGCAAGCAGCCTTCAACTATGGGGCAGGCGTGTCAGCCCTGGACGGACAGGGCAGGGGATCCCTGCCTGCAGGACAAGCACCTGTGTAATTCCCTAGATTCGAGGCGTGCTGTAGGAGGCTCCCAGCATGTGAGAAAAGAGGGTTAATGTCAGGGTGTAGAGAGAGCAGGGGGTGGGGAGAGTGGCACAAGCCTTGACTAAGCTTTGTTCCAAATTTATTTTGCCTTTTCAAAAATCTGTTTCAAATCACGCTGGGCTGCACAGCTCTTTGGGACCAAACCGAATTGTGAAACACACGTAGCTCTTTCCACGAGCCTCCCTGGGGGAATCACATATGAAGGCCTCCTAGGCTATTTGCATAAACATCCCCAAAGCCAGGGGAGAAGTTGCAGATAAAGCCAGTCCCTGGCACTGAGAAGGAGGAAGCAGTTGACCTCCAAGGGTCAGGAAGTACATGGCAGGCAGGGACGCAGCAGGTGGGAAATCCCCAGGGCGCCAGGCATCTGGCCAGAGGTGAAGGTCCCAACACCCAGATGTGGCCTTCTTTTACTTCCTGTGGAAAATTCCACCGTGCAGCAGCTCTGCATGGACGCAGCCCTCCTTTCCTTTCTGGGCCTGGCTTGGAAGCCCCTTCCCCAGGGACCAGTTGGGGGTGGTCCTAGCTCTAGTGTGAGCAGCTGACGTCGCCCCCTCTCCCCTTCTCAGTCTTGGGGAAGCCAGCCGGTTGGTCGCCCTGCCCAGGTCTGCCCTGGATTTTCTCTGTGACCTGGAGTAGGTCACTTACCTTTTTGCAGTCTCGGTTTCCTCATCTGTAAGGAAAAGGGATCATCTTAGGAAATGTGCAAGATCTTGCAGCTCTGAGATCCTGAGACTGGTTGGAGAAGAGGGCTGCAGCTCCAGATTAGATGAGCGGGGCTGAGAGTAAGAGAAACTCTTAAGAGGGCAGGAAAATCTCGCCAGGAAGTCCCTGGAGCACTCTGTGGGCGTGGGCAAGCTTCTTTAGAAGCTGGGCGTGTGCTTTAGTGCTCCCTGCTAGGGCTCTCGAGGTGGCATCCCCTCGGCTCACAAGCTGGTCTCTTGCCCTATTTGCTGTTCCCCGCTCCTCGGAGCCTCATGGAGGACCTCGCTGGCCGCTCCAGGATTCTCTGGCTTCTCCCAAAGCTTCCTGCGCTTTCTGCCTGAGCTGCTCTGGGATGATGGCTTCCTCCTCCTCTTGGGGACCCTCTGCCATGTGTTGCTGGAGCCAGTTTCTGCAGACACTGAGAGCTGACCATCAGATTTTTAGGAGTTGGTAAAGTGGTTGTTAAAATGTGTGTGTGTGTGTGTATATATATATATATATATATACACATAGTAGTGGGATTGCTATATCATATGATAGTTCTACTTTTAATTTTCTGAGAAAACTTGCCAGGCAGGCGCTCTGCTACTCAGCTACATCCCTGGCCCTCATTTTTTTTTTAAAGCTGGATTGAACACAGGGCCTCACACATGCTAAGCATGTGCTCTACAAGGTAGCCTCACCTCAGCCCCTGGAAGGCACCCTTGGGTCTTTCCTGAGCTCCGGAGGCTGTCCACACCGGTCTCATCCTCCTGGTGCACCTTCAGAGATTTCCACTTGGGAGCCGTACTAGGTGCATTTAAGAAACTGGCCAAGAGGTACAACTTGGGGCTTGATTTATTGTTCTGTTGATTTCCTGGATTTGAGAAAGTGAGGAGAAAAAGCTCATGAAGCAGAGAAAACATAGAGGTCTGCTGGGTCTGGCTGTGATGCTGAGGGTCGAGACAGTAGAAGTTCAAACACTGGGTGAACGAATCAAGCATGAGCCAGGGTAACCACGGGGTGAGGACAGATGCAGGAGCTGAGGTGAAATCCAGCATAAACATGCGGTGTGAATGAACTGATCACATTTAACCTACAGAAACAGAGAGCTGTAAAATTTATTTTTGTTTGTGAATTGCACGCCCCACGTGCATTACACTGACACCATTTGCAGTAAGCCTAAGCATACATGTGTGTGTCTGCACCCACACACACACGCACACACACACACACACACACACACACACACACACATTTCCCTGGAGAGCCGGTCACAGAGTCTTTACCAGTCCACCCGACTCCTTGGCGTGTTGCTTGTGCCCAGGATCTCAGAGGTCAGAGAGACCCAGCCCACCATGGGGCATCAGACACAGGTCTCTCCATTTCCTCCTTTGGTTTAAAACAGACCAGAAGCCAAATGCCTCTCAGTCCCCAGGTGCTGGATGCACGCAGAGACTGGGCTGGTGAGGCACCGTCCACACCGGGCTCCCGGCTCAGCCAGCGACACGAGCCCTGGGACCCATCCTGTATCTGTCCCACACCCTGTGGCCACTCCACGTTCCCTGGATGTTTCCAGGGTCCCAGCAGCAGCAGCTCCCTGGTGATCCTGTTCTGATCCAGGCCTTGCTCCTGCTGTCTTTTATTCTCCTGTGCAGGGAATGATGCTGTAATAGAAACGGCTTCTTGGAACCTGTCGAGGGAACGGCTGAGCCAAACCTATGGGAGGGTTGAAACAACTTCCTATTTTTAGAAGCCCTCGGAGCCAGGTGGGCCAATTCCAGTTCTCCTGGCCCGCAAGCATGAGAGGAAAATATTCCTCATTCCCAAGTCCCATCTCTGCAATCATCGGCCAAGGAGAAGGCCGGGAGAGACATTCGCCAAAAAGACGTGACAGTGACAGGAAGGAGGTCTGCGCTGCCACGGTTCCCAGAGGATCACAAATGGGCGCGTTGTGTTGTTTGGCCCTGGCACTCAGCCTGGAGAGTCCCGCTCAAAGTCAAGGGTCAACTCTTTCAGACCCTCCACCGGCTCCTTCATTTCTGTCTTTTTTCATAACTGTAATGTTCAAAAGTGGAATTGGTCTGGGGATATGGCTCAGCTACAAAATGCTTGCCTAGCATACATGAGGCCCTGGGTTCCATTCCCAGCCCTAAGGGGGTGGGGCTTGGCATAATGGTGCTCACTTACAGTCCCAGCTACTTGGGAGGCTGAGGCAGGAGGATCACTTGAACTCATGTTTGAGACCAGCTTGGGCAACATGGCCAGACCCTTTATAACAACCACCATCACCTTCTCAGTGAAGACTTTGTGACTCCTGTTTAAAATGACAGCCCTGCCTCTTGCACCCCTGGCCTCCCTCTCCCCGTTTCCTACCTTTCTTTACTCATCCTCACCTAACATGTTACATATTTTTCTTTTCCTCCATGTCTCTTTCCAGAATGTGAGTTTCCCAGAGGCAGCAATGTTGCATTGCTGTGCTCACTGCTGTGTGTCTCGGAAGGTCTTCCATCAGTGCATGTTGAATGAAGGTGGCTGTGGTGGTGCTTGCCTGCTATCCTAGCACTTAGGAGGCTGAGGCAGGAGAATCATGGGTTCAAGGCCAGCCCAGGCTATGTAGTGAGATCTAGGCTGGCCCAGATCACCATGGTAGAACCCTGTTAAAAAAAAAAAAAAAAAAAAAAAAAAAAAAAAAAAAAAAAAGGGAATTAAGGGAGCTATACGTGTGCAGCACCCAGGAGGAGCCCTGACAACGTGCAATCCCTAGGACTCCCGTGTGGGGAATCGAACTCAGGGCCTCGTGCTTGCCAGGTCCCTTGCGGTTTTGTTGTTTATCTAGGACTTCCCCCTCTTCTTCCATTGTCCCTTGAGTTGTGGCCCCCAGTTGATGGGTGTGAGATCAGCTCCAGTCTTCTGTGGCCACAAACACACTGCGTTGAATGTCCTGGGGCTTCTGTGCCCACCCTCATAACTCTGCTCTGGACTCTCCATTCTGGGGCAGCAGGACAAGAGGTGTGGGTGCTCGGCCAGCCCTGGCCTGGCACACAGACGGGGCTGAGCAGTGTTGGGAGAGGGACAGATCCTCCTTCGTACCTAGGGGACTGAGCTGCCACAGGGCCCAGGGTCCTGGCAAATGCCCTCACGAGGTCTGCAGAGAGCAAGCCATGCTGCGAAGGTCCTCATGGTCCTCTCTCCTCCATGAAGCCCCTGAACCTCTGCTCTACCACTCTGCCACAGCAGCCACCGGCGCGGCACTCAGGGTATCTGTCTCCCTCCTGGGGGCAGAATGACCAGTGACCGAGAGCCTGAGAGGTAGAATCTGGAGGCTGACTTTGGTCCTGGAGTCCCAGAGCCTCCACCATGGGGCCCGAGCCTCTGCCTCCTCTTCCCAAGAGCAGAAGATCAGTAACGACAGTGGCAGCTTGCAGGGAGGCCGGGGCAGACCTCAGAGAAGCAGAGCTGACAGGAGACGTATGAGCTAGTGTTAGAGACTGTCCCTCCGAGGGGCACCCGGGCACAGGCACCTGCGGGCGGCAGCCTACAAGTCGGAAGCAGCTATAAAGGGAGCCAGACTCCCCTCACAGGCCCGGGTAACTGTTCTTCCCCTGAACTGAGCTTTTGCTTGAAAATGAGGGCACTCATGGTCCGCGTCTCATCAATTCTTGTGAGAATTAAATGAGTTCGGATCCAGCCAATCCCCAAGAGATGGTGTCCTCCCCCTGCCCGGAGTACCTGACAAGGACTTCAGAACTTGAGGGGCCTTGGTACTTGAGGCTGGTTGGTTCCAGGAGCTGTGATCAGTATCAAGGACAATAAACACCGAGTCGCCCTGGCTGGAAAGGCCAGGGGAGCCATCAGCATTGACAAGTCCTAGGCTGTGCGTTGGGTATCAAAGGTACGACGCATTCTGGGACAAACATTTTGTGCCTAGATGTTTGAGTACCAAGTTTGAGGAGTGCCAGGGTGTGGCTGTAGATTGCGGGAGGCCCTGAAAAGGGGACAGTTTCCTAGGTGTGGACGGGACAATCTCACAGAGGAGGCAGATGGGGCCAATGATTTGGAGTCTGCGGGTGGCTGAACTTAGTGAGACGACGGGCCAGGCATACAGTGGCCCCCATTTGATAGCCGAGAAGATGGAGCCCCAAGGAGGAGCCTCTGCCCACCGCCGGGGCAAGAACGTGACAATCTGGAGTCAGAGCTGTGTCCCCCAATCCACACCCTGGCCCTCAGCCCCAGACAGGAAGTGGACGGTGGGGGGACGCAGTGTCACTCTGTGGCCAGCGATCTTGCACATTTCTCACATTTTTGCATCTTGGGACAAAGGGTGAAGAAACTCAAAGAACGGATCCTCTTTCCTGGTGGAAAATCACTCCCGACTGGGAGGGGGTCTTGGCTGCTGTGTGCATTTGCTGGGCTTTGCCTTTCTCCACCCGCCCTGCTGCTTAGCAGCAGCAGTTACAGAACCCCAGGGGCTACAGATCCAGAGGACCCCAGGCATTGCTGGTTGGTAGCACATGGACTTGTGGTGGCCTTGGCCCCCGGCCCTGGGTGCCACTGGGTGGTGGCTGTCTCCTGTGCGCTGTGCCGCTGTCCCTCTGCAGGGGTCCCCAGACGACTCAGAGCATCACACAGGGCAGCTGCAGAGCATGGCCGAGTCAGCAGCACTGGCGCTGGCTTTGGTGTCAGACCGACCTGGCTTTGTTGGCCCCCAAGTAGTGTGGCCTTGGACGTGCTCGTATACCCGTCTGACTATTTCCTCAGCTGTACGATATGGGTAAAGACAGCGGGTTGCAGTGAGGACCGGATATGGAGTGGACACAGTGCTGGGCACACAGAGCTGGCCTGAGAAGATATTGTAGACCAGGAGCACCAAGTTCAAGTCTAGACCCAGCTGAGTCCCGTAACGGGCCTGAGACTCTGTCATTCCCTCTGCAATGGGGTAATAGCGATAATCATAGTTACCTCTTGCGGCTTTGGGCATTTGGAAGGATTTAAGTGAATTCACATTAATGATGTTTTTACATCATAAATCTGGGACACAGAAACCACTAATATTCATTTTCTAGCTATGTGTAACAAAGTTCCACAAACCAAGCAGTGTAAAATAACAGAAATGAGCTCCCCACAGTTCTAAAGCCAGCGATGGGGAGAAGACGGGAGGCC